TCTCTGCACACATTTGGCAAATATTTAAAGGCCACAGTTCGTGTAATTGGTTCAGCTTTTGAAAATTATTAACTTATTTGTGTTAAAGGATGTACACAGCAATGAAAGATTTTATCTTGACAGTCTCATGCTTTTGTCTTCTACCAGTAAGGATGTATTTGGATTATTTTTTAGCTCCTCAAAGGGTAGTATACTAAATGCTTTGTAATCACTTTGGTACTGATGAGGTGTGGGAAAGCATTTAATTTCCACAGCTTTGTAAAGCTGGATTATACAGGAGCTGTGTCAGACAATATTTTGTTAGCCAGGGAAATAAATGGACATTTTCATATCAAGTTATTTAAAAGAATGTGCTTCTGTTTAGCTTTAGTCTTTTTATGTGTTGTGAAATCTGGGCAGAGGTGATATATACTTTCTGGACTACCCAGCTAGTCTGCAAATAAGGCTGTGCAAAACACAGAGTAAATGTTATTGACAGTTATTCTCTCAATTACCATTTTGTAATCTTTTTGCTAATTAGCTTCCTTCCTTTTTTTTTGTTAGCATATCATAATTATTTACTTTAATGGAAAAGTTGAATAGGCATTGTTAATACCTAACTGCAACCAAGGATGTATGACTTATAAGTGGTAAATTCTTTAAAGCATTTATAAACAAAATTTGGAGTTGTGAACTGGCTCCTCTATAGTGTCTACAGGAAACGTATACTGAACATGTCTTTCAGCTGAGGAAATTAGCTCCCTACTTCTGCTTCGTAAAACTGTCTGCCAACCCAACTAAAAGGTATTACTGATCAGTTCATAAGGAAAAAAATTGTATTTAGGTGTGGAATTCAAATGTAAATTTGAAAAGGAGGCAAACCAACAATATCTAGAAAATTCTTCACCAGCATATACCACAATTCTCTGCATTTTTGAGATGATCAATGAGATTTAAAAGCATATTTGTTAGAAATATTAATTCTGTGTAAAAATTACTTTGATAGTTTGTTATGAAAAAAGTTGTGTATGAAACATTTAATGCTTTTATCTCCGTTTTTCTCTGGTTTAGGCTTAAAAGCAGCGTGATTGGATTACAACTCTGACGTCAATTTTGGACCACAAGTGATGTTAAAACAATTTGAATATATCGGAGCATGGCTACTTCTTAAAATGCAAAAGTTAAAGGAAATTATTGCTTATCAAAACTTACTGAATATCTGAATTTTCTAGACATCCTGCATTTAACTGTGTCCTTAAATGTTCATGATTAAGATCTCATGCAACCATTTTATATTTTGGAGACTATTCTCCAAAAGAGAACTGTGCATTTAAAAAGCAGAAATGACTGTGTTTTCTTTTGGAACTTACTAAGGTTAAACATACTGAAAGATCATGACCAGCTTGAAGCGGTCCCAGACCGAAAGGGCTGTTGCCACTGGGGTATCAATCGGAACAGATGGCACCTCAAAAGTCCACTCGGATGACTTTTACATGAGGCGCTTTAGGTCACAGAATGGCAGCTTAGGATCTGCAGTCATGGCACCAGTTGGACCACCTCGCAATGAAAGTTCCCATCATGTTACCTCTACCCCCGGAGTCCCTAAAATGGGGGTCAGGGCAAGGATTGCTGATTGGCCTCCAAGGAAGGAGAATATCAAGGAAACAAGCAGATCTAGTCAAGATATTGAAACATCAAGTTGCCTAGACAGCATGTCTTCTAAAAGCAGTCCTGGGAGTCAGGGAAGCTCTGTTAACCTGAATGCTAGTGATTCTGTCATGTTAAAGAGCATCCAGAGCACACTTAAAAACAAGACAAGACAATCTGAGAATCTAGACTCCAGGTTTCTTACACCTGACGGCTATCCCAGTTCCCCAAGGAAAGCTCTTCGCCGAATAAGACAGCGCAGCAACAGCGACATTACCATAAGTGAGCTCGATGTGGATAGTTTTGATGAATGTATTTCACCCACTTTTAAATCTGGCCCATCTCTGCACAGGGAGTATGGCAGCACATCTTCCATAGATAAGCAGGGAACTTCAGGGGAAAGTTTTTTTGACTTACTGAAGGGCTATAAGGATGAAAAGTCTGATCAGAGAAGCCCAGCCACAACTAAGCTCAGTGAACTCCTGATTGCCAGTGGAAGCAAGGGTTCAGGATTCTCTCTAGATGTGATAGATGGGCCTATAACTCAAAGGGAAAATCTGAGACTCTTTAAGGAAAGGGAGAAGCCTCTCAAGAGACGTTCAAAATCAGAGACAGGAGATTCATCCATTTTTCGTAAGCTGCGCAATGCCAAAGGTGAAGGGGAGCTTGGGAAATCTTCAGATCTTGAAGATAACAGGTCAGAAGATAGTGTCAAGCCCTGGACTTGTCCGAAATGTTTTGCTCATTATGATGTACAGAGTATTTTATTTGATTTAAATGAAGCAGCAATCAACAGGCATAATGTTATTAAAAGAAGGAACACAACCACAGGTGCATCTGCTGCTGCTGTAGCATCGCTTGTCTCTGGACCCCTGTCCCATTCTGCAAGTTTCAATTCTCCAATGGGCAGCACTGAAGACCTGAATTCAAAAGGAAGTCTCAATATGGACCAGGGAGATGATAAAAGCAATGAACTAGTGATGAGTTGTCCTTATTTTCGTAATGAGATTGGTGGGGAAGGGGAGAGGAAGATCAGTCTTTCCAAATCTAATTCAGGATCCTTCAGTGGATGTGAAAGTGCCTCATTTGAGTCGACTCTGAGTTCTCATTGCACAAATGCTGGAGTAGCAGTTCTGGAAGTCCCCAAGGAGAATCTGATTTTACACCTAGACAGAGTGAAAAGATACATCGTTGAACACGTAGACCTGGGCGCATATTATTATCGAAAATTCTTCTATCAGAAAGGTAGGTAAATTTTTATTTCTCCTTGTGTTTTATTAATGATTTTTTGGTTTACAAACATAAATTCAGATGATGTATAATAGTATTTGCAAGAATTAGGTGGGGTTTTTTTCTCATCAGTGCTTAAACATGGTGAATTTTACCGATCAGTACATGTTGTGTATAATAGTCTTTCACAGTGTTGGAGTAAAAAAAAAAGTTGATGATTTTAGAATTGATATACATGACAGTTAGCAATGGCTGCAAATTATAGATGTCTTGAAACATAGCTTTGTTATCCATGGGAGTGGGCAGGGGTTGGTGCTTGAAAGATTAAAAAAAAAAAAAAAAAATCCTAAAATATAAGAACTTTCTTCCCTCCGTGTCAAGGCTCGATGTACTGAGGATTTAATGGAATGTGCAGCTTGGAAAGTTAGCATTTACAGTAATCTTTGGATGTTTTAATAACTTAATCATCCATTTCAAAATGTACGGGGTTTTTTGTTTAAATCAATAATATCATATACATAAAGACAAAATGTCGTCCTCAGTCACTATTTTCATTATGTATAGGCATCATTCTAGAAAGAAAATTTTGTCATATTCTGCAGAAAGAAGCTATCACTGTATATACATAACTATATACGCACACAGGTATGTTGCAGTGACAACAATGTATCTGAAAATAGACTACAATTCTCTTATCACATGGTTCCACTGATACCAAGGGTTATAATTTCCATTGGAGGTCTGCAGGAAAAAAATCAGATCAAAGCTTTTTGACCTAGAGGAACCAGCAAAACCCAAACATTACCCAGACACCCTCTTCACCAAAATGTGCTGCCCCGTGAGATGCAGATCTCATTGTCTGTTCTTTCTGATTCTGAAAATGATCAAAAAGGACTGCAAACCAAAGTTTTAAAGTTTAAAAGAGTTCTCTGCAGGATTGTGTGCTTTGCTATGGTGTCTCCTGATGGATAGAATTGGTCTAATGACTGACCTGAGGAGTGCTTGTTCCTTAGCTGCCCGTGGGTTTCATCTCTCTAGCCAAAGCACCTCAAAAGAGCTTGTTTCCTGAAGATTAAAGCAACAAGGATACCTGGTTAAAATAAGTGGATGGTCAGTTCAAAAAAACTTCAACTTGTTCACTGTGTGTTACAGCTAATAATCTCATCTCCCATTTTTCCCTTGCCTCGAAATACATCTCGCCTCTTCTTCTCTGCATTGTCCGTTGGTTGGGTGGCTCTTGTCACACTTTCCATAGTCTCCTCTTCCTGTAGTCTTTCTAGGGCTGAGAGGTAGCCTTTGCTGCATGGTTTTTGGGGGTGCTCATCCGCATTCTTTGAAGAGAAAGGAGTGGGGAAAAATAATGGTTTCCTGACAACAGCAAGCCAGATGTGCAATATAGGATGAGGTATGTTTGGAGGAGGGAGCCTGAGGTTAGATTAGAGACCTTTGCCTGTGATTACTTTCCTATCTGTCTCCCTCCAGAACAATTTGATTCCTTATCACTCTGGCAAGTTTTGCAATTAGCAACTAAAGGTGCAGTTTCATGTTACAGTTGACCTGATTTAACAGCATTTCAGCACTAAAATGGGAAGACTTTGTTCCTTCCCCTTCCTTGCACCAGTTCTCTTGTTTTCAGAGAACTTGATAAGCTTGTTCAGTTTACTAACAAAGCAGAAATCTTGCCATCACAATAAATTTGCTTTTGGTTGCTTGGTTGTTTTCCTTCAATTTTAGTGAGTCAAATCAGCTTTCCTTGCAGTCAGAGAAGTGCCAAAGCCTAGTGCCAGGTAAGCAATGAAAGTGAACAGAAGCTGAGGAAGGTGTTGTTAGTGGGATTTCAGCCCTTAGGCAACAGCAATTTATTAGTTTGCCTTATCTTTAAGGGAAACCACACCCTCATGCTACTGCAATGCCAGTCACCATTACATCTTCAGCTCTTTTTAGTCGTAATTAAGATGAATTAAATAAAATTGACGTAACCTAGTGCTAAGGGTATTGGTGAGGGGTAATCAGGTATAGAAGTGGCGCTGTGTGTATGGAGTGCTTTTGGAGGTAAAGAAACAGCTGTGATTTTTTTCCTTAAACCCTAAACCCGGATTTTTAATTTGGTGTGCTCATGTTCAGTCCAGCAGGCACAAGCTGGTGCATCGTTCCTACCAGGGATTTTTGTCTGAAGAGGTGTGCTTCAGAAGCCTTATCAGATATGTCCAGACCCCACAGTTCTACCAGTACCAAACACATTTTGTTGACCACCCAGCATAATGTCTTTCGCCAAGCAAACTTTAGACTAATCTGAAAGAGGCAGGATAGTGATAAGTCTTAAAGCAGCATAATAGGAAAAAAATCAAGGAAGTCAGTTGTAACTGAAAGTTTTTATAACATGAAGCAAGTAATGATGCAGAAACTTCCTTGTTTGAAGAGGAGGTTGGATCTTTATGATGTTATGAATGGATTAGACAGTGACAAGAGGCAGTTTCAGTGGGATCAGTGAGTCAAGTCAGCAGACCTTGGGTAATTTTGTAGTGTTAAAAGTATGAAGCAAAGTATTCTGATTCGGCAACGATAACTTGGAAACCAGGAAAATTTCACAAAATTGGAGAACTACTGAAGTAATTCAGGAGCTTGTAAAGAATAAAAAGCAATGACCCAGAGAATTGTAATCCTTTAGTTTGTTTTCATTCCAACTTGAAGTGACAAAGCAGGTAATATGGGACTATATCAACAAAGAACTGCCAGTTAAAAATCATTAATGATACCAGGCAGCATGATTTAATGAAAAGTAGGTCTCATCACAAAAAATAATTTGTGTCTTAGAAAAAAAGAAAACAGTGCATTGATTACAGTAATTTTAATTTCTCCAAGGTAATTTGGTGAAATGCTGATGGTTACTTGACTGAAATCTTTAATTAAATGGAAGTAATAGCTCATTCTCTACAGGTATTGTTACTTGGGTGATAGATGCATCTCAAATTTTAGCAGTGTATGGGGGAGGTATCAGTGAGCTGGAGCATTACTAACATGGTCTAAATTAATTAAAATACTTTAATCTAGTTAGTGTAAAATATTTTGTGTGTGACATTTATGGATGAATCTTGTGTAAGTTCATCAATGAATGCAAATGGATGAGCATTTGTATGTAAAGGAAATACTAAGGTGAAATACACATATTTGACCCTTTAGAGAGCAATGATGAAACTATGGATAAATAATATTTTGGCCTGGTGTCCAGACTTCTAAATGTGAAAATACTGGTGGAGACAGTTTAGTGGAAGTTTGAAAACTGGTACAGATACTGGGAAAAGAACTTCATAATGGTAGTTCCCAAGGCTGGATTTAGCTCCTCTGCTTTCTATCTGAGCTAATTGTGCAGACGCCCTTTGTACTCAGTCGAGAGAAGTGAGCCTTGCAGGATGATATGAATTGCAATGTTACTTCACTTAGTTCACTGTGGAAGGCTCTCATGCAACTATCTCACATGGAGTTGTTTATACTTACAGGACATGAATGTTACTCTTATATTGCAAATGATGTATTTGCAAGGTGACTATTTAAAGGTGTATTTCAAAAGGTGTATTTGATGGGGGGCTTGTAATTAGAAGACTTAAGTCTAGACATTTACATGTGCTGAGATACGTAGTAATGCAAGTGCTAAAAAAAAAACCAAACCAGAGTGGGGGGGAAAGCCAGCACAAGAAAAAGTTTATGAAAGTTACACAAAGGATAACTTTTAAAACAAAAAGGGTAACTATACACAGGAAAAACTTATTAAAGGAAGTTGTTCATTGTTTGAATTTTACATGGCAGTCATGGGGTTTTGTATGACGTTTTCGCTTCTTTTCGACTTCAATGCCTGAAAAGACAATTTCTGACCTGTTTAAATTAAGATAACAGGGTCTCTCCCGGCACCTCTGTTTCTTAATTTGATAGTTATATCTTTTAAGACACCTCTTTATTGGAGGGGTTTGCAGGTCATATGGATGTAGTAGGTAGCTGGACAGCATTCTCACCTGTGCCATAATGTATGTGTGCTTTCAGCTCTTGCTGCTCGGTTGTGTCCATGGGCAACTTTGTCATCTGGACCCTCTGGAGTGAAATCGGAATCCTGGCTGAAAAACACAGATGAGATCGTTAATAACAATAAAAATGTTTCAAAGTGTGCTGGTACTGGGCAAAACTTAAAAAAATCTAATTATTGAAATAAAATATTTTCTCTCTAAACATGATTCTTTTAGAATTAATTGGAAGGAAAACAGGTTGGACTTGTTTGTTGGTTTGTTTTTTTTTTTTCTACATAGGGGCACCAAATGTAAGGGTGGAGGGAGTGAAGGGAAGATTTCAAAATGCTATCTGTCAGTTGTTTTGGGGCTACTTTCTGCACTGTTTTTTCCTTGTGGAGCATTCTGACATTTTTGTTTGTCTTATGATTGTGATAAGTATAAAACCATGCAACTAGTCTTCTAATAAAATAAATATTAAGATGGCTGGTGAACTTGGTTTTGATAAAAAGTGTATTTTTTCAACAGAAAGGAGGAGCAAGTTGTTCAGGCCTTACTGAAATGTAAGAAAAGATGTGTCTCTGTGTGAGAAAGTGAGATTCTTACTTAAATATGTAACTTTCTACTCCCAACAATTCATTTCATAATATTGACTGCAATGCTTCAGTTTATTCTTAAAAAAAAAAAAAAAAAAAAAAAAAAGAGAGGGAAGCAAAACCCTTGAACTCAGTGCTTCTGGGCTTAAAATTGCAGTTCCCCAAGAAGGGAAGAGTTGTCTTAAGGTAACCCAAGAGTTCTAGTCCTATCTTTTGGCAAAGGCCAGCAACAGATACTGAAGGAAGTGTAAGAATAGGGCAAAAGCATAGCGATACTTTCTGGGTGTACTTTCCCAGCCTCTGGAGATGTGTAGATAATGTACGACATAACCTGCTGTATAGTATCATTTGTATTTAGTAGTCTTTGGACTTATCTTCCAGGCATTTATCCAGGTATCTGTTACAATGAATAAACTTCAGCATTCACAGTACTCCTGCAGTAGCAAGAAGTTCTGCGTCTTGACTACCTACATTGGTCATAAAGAGCCAGTTTTTACTGGGTTTGTCTGCTGGCTTCCAGAATGAAAACTAGGGTCATCAGATTAAACAGTCTCACTGCTAGGGTGAAAAAAATTGATTTTCTCACCTTTCCTTGGTATGTGTTACTTCATAAGCCTCAAGCATACTATTCCCCTCAAACGTATTTTGTTGTCCTTCTCTGAACCTTTTCCAGTTGTGATGAGGGCACAGTATTTAAGACACAAGTGAACAGCAGACTTAGGGAGTATTGTAATGTTTTCTGTTTGGTACTTAAAAATTCTGAATGTCTAGCCATAACTTACATAAAGACTTGAATTTCTTTCCCATACATGGGTAAAAGCTTTGTGTATGTATTCTGGATGAAGTCTTATAAATGTTTGTACATTTAGGTAGCGATTTAATCATTAGCAATAAAGTATTTTTCAAGGAGAGCCATGCTTATTATTATCTGTCTATAGCTTGATATTAAAAACTTATTTATGGCCAATAATAAAACCATAGGGATGGAAAAATTTGTTTCCTTCAGCTGCTTAGAAAATAGAGCATATTGCTCTGGAGGAGTGATCTGTTCTCTCTGTCCCACCAAGTCGTGTCTCGGAATTACAGCTGTCTTGGGAAGAACCAAGAGCATCTGTTTAGCTTTGGCCATCATCAGGCAGTAGTTACTAACATCATTACCATTTAGGAGAAATTTGAGTTACTGGCTTAGAATGAAAGACTTGACTGAGAAGTAAATAGTTTCCCAAGCTGGTTTTCTAACAAATGAGCTGTTGGTCAGCTTTCCTTTAACTGTTGGCAGCCAGTAAAAAAAACCCTTTGCTCTAATGCTTTAAATTGCTGCATATTCTATCCCCAGATAGATACCTTTCAAATATGAGGCTAGACTTAGAGAAAATTTACAGTTTTTGTCTGGTGTCTGGTCATGAGCAACAGTGTGAAGACATTACAGGACCGAGCTTAAAAATTCTGCCCTCTTGGTTCTAGAGAACTGCTGGGCAGAGTTTTCCAGTGCTGTAAGTGCTGTGGTAGGTTTAGAGGAAACTGCTCAATGCAGGGTTTCATTCTGAAGTTAAATGTTTGAGATTTTTAGCTCTAGTCTGATTACACACAATGCATCAGTTGAACATGATATTCAGAGGTAAATAGGATGAAAGCACAAAAGAACCTTCTCACTCAAAATCAGGTGTATTTACAAGGGAAACTTGTAAATATCTGCCAGGAAAATGAGTATTTTCGCTTAGGTTCTTTCACTGGAAGTGTCTTTTGAATGATATGATAAATATTTAACTATTTTTAAAAGTATGTCTAATCTGTTTTAATGACCTGGTACAAGCAGTTGTTTATTTTTGGTGTGGATTTATGAATTAATTTATGGCTGTTGCTAGTTGTCTACCGGGTGTCTTTTGATTAATAATTTTTCAGCAGTAGTTTAAATGAAGTAATGTGAAGATTGAGAAGTGTTGCTTTCAGTGAGGTTCTGCATGGGGTGGAGGAAAAAGCTGTATTCTATACTATTAATGTTTTGCATAAAATTCTTGATTTACTTGTGAAGTAGCACTTGTTTTTACAATAAAACTCATAGATTGGATTTTAAGCTTTGTGCACTGGAATTCTGCTACTGCTTTTCCTGCTACAGGGAAGAGAAAATGGTTGGATGCAAGGAAATTCAGGATGTAGTAGAAAATCAGGTAGAGATGCAAGAAACTCTACCACAGGGAAAAGTAGGCAGATATGAGGGAATATAGCTTGCAGAATGACTACAGAGGGTGGGATAGAGGAGGAGAAAGAGAATAAAGAGGAAGGTAAAGAGTGAAGGACCTGGTAGTATATACGAATAGAGGAGAGGACAATGTGAAAAGACTGAGGAGACGGGTAGGAGAGCAAGAAAGACAACTGCCCAGTGTAGAATGAAAGGAGAGAGGACAAAAGACATTTCCTATTAGCAGAGAAGTGTAAAATTCTATACTCCTTTGAGTACATTTTCCCAAATAAATAATAGCTAGATAAAAGGCATAATCAAAGGACACAAAATTGCATGTGTATTTTCATGCAGCTTCAAGCATTCCTTTTATCAGCCTTCCAAAATGTATTTTCCCTTCAAGATGCAGAATAATTTCTCCTGAGAAAACACACTATCTGAATTGCAGGCTAGACTTCTTATGAGATAAATTTTATCATATGTACAGAAAACTCTAGCCTAATTTTTGGACCCTTTAGTATGTATTAACATATCCTCTTTTTTTCCTGTATAATTTTCTGTTGTATTGGAAAAGGTACATAAATGTTTTGAAGTCACTAAGCAGTTTAGTGTAGAGATGGCCAAGCTATCTCAGGTTTTGGAAGCTGCATAATGTACTGATAGAAAATTGATCCCACTTTCTCAATGACTGCTGCTTTTGCATGGACCATCTCTGCTGTAAACCGTTCAGTGAGCTATAAACATCATGGAAAAAGCAAGATGCTTAATGGAAGAAGAAGAAAAGCTAGGGTGCTAATAAGATGGTTTGGGTTTTTAAACAACAGAAGATCTCTGTGGCTTTTACAGGGCTTGTATCAGTGGAGTAGTATAAAGATTTAATTAGGCTTATGTGGATCGTCTAATTTATACATAATTTCCCCACTCATGACTAATTCAGTCACCCAAAACTTAGGCCAATATTTACAGGATATTCCACAAGATATTAAAGGAATTTTGAATCTTTGTTACCTCTGTGCAGAGTGTGGGCTTTTGAGGAGTTTGTTAGAAAGCAAGCTTTATAATGTTGCAAGCATGTTTCTTTTATGTCTTGCATGCTCTGAAATCTTACATGGAAGACATTTGAGGAAAGGCTAGTAAAAAATACCAGATACTGGGGAACAGAATAGAGCTCCAAGGGCTTAAAGGGTTGAACATCTGTGTGAAGACAAAGGTGTAAAACTAGGGCACAAGTAAGTTTATAAGGAGAGAGCACCTGCTTGAAAAGCATTTAGTGTGTTGGAGGAAAGTACAGCAAGAACCAGTAAGTATAATTTTAAAAAGAAATAGAATAAAAAATGAGGTACTCAGATTTTTAACACTGCAAATGATTATTCATTTGAAAAATGACTGCCATTCACTTTGGATGGAGTGTATTTCAGTATCTATTTTTAGTGCCATTAGAGATGCAGTTCCTGATGATGATACAAAAACATTTTTCATTTTATCTCTATATCAGAATAGCTCATGTTAGACTGCTCTTAAAGCTCTTGTCTTAAAGTTTCAGTTGCTTTAAGAATAACGAGTGATCTGTATGTAGTAGTTCAGGCAGTATGGTTATGTTTCCTTTCAGGGCAGTTACATCTTTTTTTCATTCCACTGAATTTCACATTTCTTCTCTGAATTGTTGAATTTTCAGATAGCTCTTAACTTTCTATTTTTGTGCATGTATAAATTCATTCGTATATGCAGATACGCAGCATAAGGAAAGTGATGACATAGGACTTACTTTTTTTGTACAATGGTTGACTTGTATTTTTTGACAGTTTCTCTTAAATTTTCCTTTCAGGTATTGTTTAATTCAATTGCTGTCACTTGAGATATGTGCAACTTTGTATGTTGCTGCATTCATGGTGATGTCCCTCTGTTAAGAGTAAAGATAGTTTATAATGCTCAGAAGGCTTAATAAAAGAGTCTTCAACACCAATCTCTTAAATTGTTGAGCTTTAATTTTTTAAATGCACTTTTCTAATATTTTTTCACGTAAAGCTTGACTTTACATGTATATAGTTAAACAAATATAAAAATGTTTCTCAAATAATCTACTGTTCAGCTAGTGAGCAATTTCTGCAGCTTGTATTCTCCTTTCTGCTGCCTTCCCAACTAGGCTGGTTTTAAACTCTAGCACTTTACATTTACTCTTAGGGTTGTTTGACAGTTCACTGTTAAATATTGACGTTAGTCACTTTGTTTCTTGTACTTTATTATATTTTTCTATGGTACTATGCTTTGATTTTTTTTTTTTTTTGCTATGAACAAGTCTTTAACTTCTTTTTCAGCTTCACCGGTTTTTCCACTTCGATAATTGAGTAACTTGTTTGACTGTTTTTTGCTTTTTCCATACAAAAATAAGTTACATCCTTTGCTAAGTGCAAATGTGTGCCTCTCCCATTTTAACATAGAGTGAGGAGTTTCCCACTTTGGTGCATTTGGCTTCCTTGTTTTTATTTTTAAGGGGAGGAAATTGGTTGTACTTACTTAGCTCAATGAGAATGAAACAGATTTCAATATAAGAGATATTTTCCTGCTTTAGGCCTGTTTAAGCAGAGGTGCAATGTTGAATTTCAGCCTTCTTGTCTAAACAGAGCTCATTAGGTATCTGAAGCACAAGATTGAAATTGTGGTCCCACTCAAGACATGCTCTTAATGACTCAGGTGGAGCTGGCAATTTATTTCCAACATAACAACTAAGCATGAAAATATGGTTGAAAGGTAAGAAGTAAGACCAGCTTTTATTTGTGTGTGTGTTTTCTTTTTGTGTGCAAGAACACTGGAACTATTTTGGGGCAGATGAGAACCTGGGTCCAGTAGCTGTGAGTATAAGAAGAGAGAAGCCGGAGGAAATAAAAGAAAATGGACCTCAGTACAACTACCGGATTATATTCAGAACCAGTGAGGTAAGCAGTTCAGGATTGATAGTAGAAGCAGCTAGAAATGAGCAGGCAAAGCCAGGTGGTATGTGTGGGGTTTGTGTGCTTTTCAGCATTGATAATAGATTTCTGTCTCCTCTACATACCTATAATACAGGAATCTCTTCTGACAAAAGTTATGCCACATGTTTGTATAACACAGAATACAAGTAAGTGTGTCGGTGAATGAGTTACTCCGTAACATCCGATACAGAGGAAACAGTGAAGGTTTGGTTAAAGCTGGAGAAACTTACAGGAGCTGTATTAGCTAGAAGCAAACAAAGAGGAGGGAAATCACTTCCTCCGCTTTTGTATGTGACAGTGGCTAGACCTGAGAAGCATACTTTTATACTTTGAAATGCTCTTCTAGAAATACTACTAATCTTTACCAAGTATTAGTTTCCTGTAAAATTTAAATCTGTTGAATCATTTGAAATATTCTGCCTACTGCTATCAGACTGTGTCATTTTGCATATCAAGTGTCTGTTTCATGCAACACAAGTTATTTAATGTCCTCAGTCTCTATTGAGAATTGGAAAAATGGCACGTTTTGCAACACTGCTATTGCTAATCAGCCTTTTCTCAGTGCATAATTCAATATATAAGCTATTTTTGTTTTGTATGTTTAGCTTATGACATTAAGAGGCTCTGTGCTGGAAGATGCTATCCCTTCAACTGCAAAGCATTGCACAGCCAGGGGACTTCCGCTAAAAGAAGTGCTGGAGTATGTGGTTCCTGAGCTGAATATCCATTGCCTAAGGCTGGCCTTCAACACTCCAAAAGTCACAGAACAGCTTATGAAGCTGGATGAACAAGGCGTAAGTGCAGAGTTACAGGATGAGACAAATTGTCTTAAACTGTCAGATTACTGCCATGAACTGCAAAATTACCTTTTAGCTTTAGGTGATGAAAGTCAGTCTATTAAAATGCCTCATTTAAACTAAAGCTTGTCATCTGTAGGGAGAGTTGTATGTGTTTCCCCCAAGTTTGGCAGAATATTTGGGATGTATGAAATCAAGTTCATTGCTTTAAGTAGTCTAAAGTTTTTGATTATCATTATGGCAATTGTCCATTTTCATTTACTTTAAAAGAGACTAAGTGTTTTTTGAAGACTGTGGAGAGGAGGGAGTTCTGTTCTGGTTTTTGTATTGCTATTATAATGAGAATAGAAATCTCCCATGTTACTAAATGTTTTGTTGTAATGTTGTATTGGCACAACCATTACCAGAGTGCTGCCTGTCTCTTTTTTTTCTTTCTTTTTTTTTTTCCTTCCCCCAAAACAAACTACATGGCAAAATATTCTAAGCCTCTTCTTCATACAAGTGGTTTTCAATTAGGTGATAGTACCCTGGCGTCTTAAAGATGGAGCTGAGGCTCATCAGCTATATAGCTTAAACTTAGTAAAATGAAAGTTCATCAGTAAAATGAATTTTATGATTAAAAACTTCGACAGTGACATTTAACGTCTCTGAGTACTGAGACTGTCTCTTTCTCCTGGTCTTTTATGCTTCTCATGATCAGCCTCTCCTGCACAGAATTAACATCTGTGTTATTTCTTCTTGCTGTCCGTCTAACATTGCCATCATAAAATTGAAAAAGGTCTAATCATTATCTGCCCCACAAGGGAGAGAGTATAGCTGTTCTAAACAGGTTTATAAGTTACTACCATGAAGATTTTGTCAGCCTCCTTATGGTTTGGTTATTTAAATGGACAAGACAGAGAATCCCCAAATAAATACTGCCAGAAGCAAAACTGAGCAAAATACTTTGTTCTCTAGTTAGTGAAACAGATGAGGTTCTGAAACTTAGAACACAGTTCAAGAGGATGAAGATATGGGTAGCTGTGGCTATTGCAGAGCATCTAGACTAACATGGGAATGGTTATGTGTGGTCAGACCAAGGTAGATGCAACCCAGTATTGTCACTGACCATGACCAGCGGTGGGTGCCTGGCTAAGAATATGAGCATGGAGTGATGCATTCCTAGCTCATGATAGCTTGTAGGCTTTTATAGAGCTGTCTATCCTACCCCTCTACTTTACCAGTTTCATGAGTACTTCTGATCATGCTTTTACCTCTCTCTGGAATTCTTGAAGTTCCCCTCCTCCTCTCCCACATCTATTTTAAAACAGTGCAGTTTTAAAAATGGGGAAAAGTTTTGGTTTAGTACGCTTTCTTATCTCTTCCCCCACTAATAATTACTGATATTTTATTTGCTTTATGACTACTACTGAACACTGAAGTATCTTTTCACGCACACCTAAGATCCTGTTCCATAAGGTGTAAGTCAGAGCTCATTGCTTTAGAGGCAAAGTTGGGTATCTTTGTACCACGTGGATCGCTTCAAGCGTTACTTGCACTGAGGTTCGTCTGCCATTCTTTTGCCCGGTTATGCACTGTCACTTGATAGCTCTTATAGCCAGTCTTCAACTCCAGTGCTGTAGAGTAATAACTCGGTAGTGTTAGCAAACTCAGTTACCTTACTATTCATCACCTCTATCAGATGTACGTCCAAGTTCAGATCCCTGCCTTACTCTGATGACCATTCTCTTCAGCTCCTTTTTGTCTTTTAGCCAGTTACATGCCTTAAGTTTCTTTTTCTGTACCCTGGCTGTTTAGGGGTTTTAAGACTTTTTGATGAAAAAGCTTTTTTACATGTCTCTTGGAAATTCAAGTACACTCTGTATCAGCTGTATCTCCTGCATGTGCTTATTGGCTCCTGAGGGGGGGTGGGTTTACCATACAGCCTAGTAAAAGAAGGATGGAATCTATAGATGCTTATGCTGCTCAGTGTAACAACTCTTTCACATGATGAGATCCTAGTAAGTTAGAGGCCTGAGTGTTTTCCTTAGATGATTAAAGCAGCGTTTCCAAATATTCACATATTCAGTGTTTATGATTTGTTTCTTGAGCCTAAACCAAATCTGCCCTTCATCCAGAAGCAAGTTTGTCAGGCTCTTGAAGACTCAAGGATATCTTTCCATCCCTTTCCAAGGTTTTCTGTTGCAGCAGTAGTGAAAATGGAATTTAGTTCAACATGGCTTTATAAGTGAGCCTTTGGATTCAGGGATCGGTACCTGCCAAGATATGCCCATCCCAATAGTGTTCATGGGAAAATTTTCACAAAGAAAAAAGAGATCTAGCAGAAAGTTCTGTTTAAAAAAATAAATTCCAAAATTATTTCCAGTAAATACCTAATTTGAAAAGTAATTTAGCATAATTTGCTTCAGAAGTCAGTTATACCTAAGAAGGTGTGAGATGAAATTATCCTTATTTCATATCCTAGAAGTAATTAAGCTCCCACAATACAATGTATGGTATGGTTTTCTGTTACTAGTTCTGAAAATCGTTAAGGACAAGTGATAGTTAAAATTGCGTTATCTACATCAAAGTATTTTCTGTTTTTGTGGTAATGAAACAGTTTGACACTTCTAACAGAGAAAGATAAGCACTCTCTGTACTAATTAGAAGCTGCATTTTTATCAATTCCAAGCTAACAGAAAAATTTGGGTAACAGCTGCTCTGCTAATTAGGTACACAGATTGTTTATCGTTTTTCTTGCTGAGTGTTGCACTGTTTCATTACAGCATGAACAGGTGCCTGTTTGATATAGCAAGTAAGATGTTTTGTAAATGTAAGTTAAGACTATAAAGTGGCCTTAGCCATTAAATTTCACCCAGTAACCCCTTCATTGAGTCAAATTGACAGTTTTGATTAAGATAGGTCATTGGGTTTTTTATATTTGAGTGAGGTTTTAAAGCAGTTAGTTGTTTTCATATTTAAGAATTTGCAGGTATTTATTTAAATTTATCTGCTTTCAGCTTACAGACTTATGGTACCTTTCTCTGCTACATCTTAAGAGTCATTTTAGTGTGAAATTTTTCCCAGCAAAGGTTTTTGTATGCAGTGATTAAATCATCTGTTGGTCTTGTTTATGATAAACTAAACAGATTGCGCTTTTCAAGTCTTTCACTGCAACGTATTTTCTCTGATTTTCATACCACTTTTATGGCTGAGCTCTGTCTCTTCTGCTCTTTCAGTATCTGCATATGACATCCACTGTCAGACTAGGAATATTCTTCTTGCCCCAATTTTGTACTGGTGTTGTGTGTCAAGTTGCGTGTTCCTTACTTCCCCTTAGATTGCCAGAGTCACGGTAACAGCTGCTATTCTGTACCTATGGCCCACATTGCTTGTTAACTAGCTGTTCTTTCATTTGCTTTATTAAAATGCATTAATTTGAATGCTTTTGTGTTAAAGAGCAATCCAGTCGTCGCATAGGGCTGCACTAGCTTCTTGGCTAATTACCATCTACTAATATTTGCCTTGAACGCAGAGTTCATGGTAACTTACTTTAGGTTTACTTCCAAATATGATTTAAAAAATTGCATATCAGGGCAATTACTGATTTATTCCAGTAGAAGTTCATCTTTATGGCAATTCCTCATTCACAGAAATACTGCAAAATGACAGTCAGTTTTTAATGTAATTCCGTATTTATAATACAAACTTGCTGACTGGTTAAATCCAAGATACACTTTGCGCTGTCTTTCACTGGGTGCTAGACAAATACTTGAAGTGCCCTTTTCCCACATATATGAATATGTGAATACTTTTAGATTATTAAAATGAAGCTTCTACTTTAGGAGTTTTACTGCAGCAGAATTCATCCTTCAGCTCCTTTTTTAGCTTTTACTTTGGAGTTAATACACTTCTAAGGACCCTAGATCTATCAGAAGGAGGTGTAGTAATGGGGACTGCATGCCTGTCTTCTCCCAAATCCGCTTTTTTTGATTCAGACTTAGCAGCTCGTGTTGTCCTTATGAAAGGTTGGTGGTGGGTTTTTTTGAAATTCAGCAAATGTAAGAACACAGCTAGAAGGCTTATCCTGTTCTTTGCATAGTCCTTATTTAGTTTCTTAGGCCGACATTTTCAAAGCAATAAAGGACAGTTGTTTGGTTGCTCATGGGTGCTGCGGATCCCATTTACATTTCATGCCCTTGAAGAGACTTCCTTTGCCTGAAATCGAAGCTTAAATATTGTAGGTGTGCTTGGTGAGAATGGTTTTCTTTGTCCTAACTTGTTTAAGTAAAACTACTAAAAACTATTGTAGTTAGCAGTGCATCTAAGGCATTGTAGTCCCATGAAACACTTCATCCATCGTAATTCCCTGGGAGTAGACAGAACGTATCTGAGCAGCAAACACTGCCTGAACGGTCCAAGACAGGACCTGCTACTGATGATATGGAAAGTGACGGCGGTTGTTCTGGCAGGAGCAGCAGCAGTGCCACCTCACACCACCCTTCCTCTCCTCCCTCCCCACACGTCAGCAGTAGCTGGTCCGGGTTCTCTGTGAGAGCACATAGCCCTGTCTGCAAAGTCACCGAGTTTGACTGCTGTGAGGCAATAAGCTTGCAGTGAGTGGGATCACGTAGTTCGCCATCTCAGCACAGGTCATAGAAATGTACCCGGAAACCTCACCTAGCTCCCGTGATTCCTGAGAAAATTTAAATCTTAATCAAACAGCCATCATGCAGAATGTTTTACAAAAAAAAAAAGCATGTGCCATCCATCTGTATCTGGATTGTTTTGATCATTGTATACGCTGATGGTTGTTTTGAATTTTTGTGGTTTTTAGTGAATGGGGAGTTGAAATAAATTATCATAAGAATAAACTGTAACATTAATTTGGTTTACCAATAAATGTCTTTGCTTTGTGTCATAATACTTTGGTGCCCAAAATACGTAGTCTTCATTCTTAAAGGTGAATATTTTTGGTTGGGTCTCTAGTGCTGAAAACATCTTTCCTATAGTTACGCAGCAAGTGTTTCAAATGGCTAACAGTGAGAGGAAAGGAAATAGAAACATTTCTTCAAGGCACAAATGGGTTTTTTTCTTTCAGTTTTGGAAGTTTGCCTTTGGATGTTTCTTTCATAAGGGATAGACTGAGATGAGGGCAGGCTGACAGAGTTGGGGTTGTTCAGCCTGGAGAAGAGAAGGCTCCGGGGAGACTTTACAGTGGCCTTCCAGTACTTAAAGGGGGCTACAGGAAAGGTGGGGAGGGACTCTTGATTAGGGAGGGCAGTGATAGGACAAGGGGTAACAGTTTCAAACTGAAGGAGGAGGGATTGAGATCAGATACTAGGAAGAAGTTCCTCACTGTGAGGCTGGTGAGACACTGGCACAGGTTGCCCAGAGAAGCTGTGGCTGCCTCCTCCCTGGCAGTGTTCAAGGTCAGGCTGGATGGGGCTTTGAGCAACCTGGTCTGGTGGAAGGTGTCCCTACCCATGGCAGGGGGGTTGGACTAGGTGGTCTTTAAGGTCCCTTCCAACCCAAGCCATGCTATGATTCTATGCTGTACTCCTATTTTACCATAAGAAATTCAGATACATTTAGAAGATGCAAGTCAGGTAGTCATTGTGTCAGATGATGAAATAAGGGACATTCTGGAGGGGAAAAAGGAGACAGCCTAGAACTGTGACTCATTACATATGCTTAACTTCTTCAATGGGAATAATCAAGCCAGGTTGATCTTTAGCCTTCTTTCCACCCCCCCGCCATTTTCATAGTGCTAATACTTTATCCCTGTCACCATTCATCCTTGGTAGTAAAAGAATAATACAGTAAAGTTGCAATTTTCAGTGGTTTTTAATTTTAAAATTTACTTTAATTAGAGACAGAGTAGAACCATTTCCGAGGGCTTTTAAATTATCCCACTGTAAATATAAATATAAATTAATGAATTTCTGTTTAACTGTGTGTCCATGTCATCCCAGCAAGTTACAAAACCTTTTGTTTCACAACCTGTGATAGCAGATTTGAGAGGAAATCACAGTATATTCAGATGACTTTGGTTTCAGTGCCCTTGCAAATAACTGTTTTCACTTCCCACTAACCTGTAGCCCAAACTTGTAAATCTCATGCCAGTTTTGATAGACTTTCTTGTGATTTTGCTCTGGCAGATCTGCTTGGTATTTATTTAAAATCGAGCCTCTGCAGAAATTCGTGGGAGAGAAGATTATTTACCCTGCCATACATATGAATTACTAGATGAATTATATGCATAAACTCCAAGGCTCTACTCTCCAGTCTGCCAGTCAGAGTTCCTGCCTGTGAAACTGGTTTTGGAGACAGCAGTAAATGGCTGTGGGTGCTGCTTTCTTCCCTTCTGTAACTTCTGTTTCTGTAGTCCAGACATAAAGGGCACAGTTGTGGTCCTTTCTGTGTGTGCATCGATTTGAAATTGGTGGGAACAGTTTGCTTTGAAGAATCAGAATTACAGTTGGGTGAATAAAGATTCACATCTTCAGTTTCTGCTCTATTAGGAACATCAAACACCAAATTAGAGGGAAAAATGGAACTGAAAAGCACAAATGTATTTGAAGGGCTATGCAAGTAAAGAGTATCTTTAAAGTATTACCAGCATTTTTCAATTTAGCTGTTTTCTTTGTTACTGCATTTTTGAGTCAGAGAAGGCCAACTGAATGCCATGGATTCTTTCAACGTTGCTCACAGGTGAATGCACTAATAGGTGAATATTTTTTTATCTTCTCTTTGAAGTAGCAGAATGTTCATTTTGTCAGTTATTCTAGAAATGAGCACATGCTGTGCCCTACCCCTCTGTGGGTAAGGTTTAGCATAGGATAGTAACCATGGTACCAACCTAAATGAGAGTCAGGTTCTGGTGCTACTCAGCGAGTGCTTTCCATGTGGCTCAGTGTAAGATGTTCACCATTTGCAAGCTGCAGTGGTGTTCTCCTGAAAAGAAGGAACATTAAAGTTTGCTTCACTTCAGAAAGCATTTTGACATCTTCAGATGAAATATGCCATCATCAAGGCAATTAGTGGAAAACAATGAGAGTATTTGGAACCAGACTAACATTTGAAATTAAACTGATAAGTAGATACTTTTTCTTTGTGAATTATGGGTTTATTAAAAAATGTGAAGTGAATTCAGTAAATAAGTTGCTGTATCACTTGGTGTACATAAAAGATTTTAATCTTTTTCCCTTTGCAGTTAAGTTACCAGCTTAAGGTGGGTATCATGTACTGCAAAGCGGGGCAAAGCACAGAAGAGGAAATGTATAATAATGAATCAGCGGGTCCAGCTTTTGAAGAGTTTCTTCAGCTCTTGGGAGAACGAGTTCGACTCAAGGGATTTGAAAAGTATCGTGCTCAGCTGGATACAAAGAGTAAGGCTTTTTTTTCTTTTTCTTTTTTTTTTCTCAAGTGAACAAAATGCATCATATGGTTGCTAACTGACTTTTTGTAGAGTTCTTAAAAATAACTTCTTTGCTATAGGAAGACAGTTGCTCAATATTAGAAAGGAAAGCAGAGCAAGTATGTAATTTGACCCATGCCCAGAGTCTTTCAACTCTGATAATTATTGGATTTTTGTACTCATTTGGTACTAAATCATCACTAACACTGCAACAAGAAACCAGTAACTGTGGAACCATTATTGGCATTACAAATCCATCATCAGTGTGTTGTCTAAAGAGTAATCAATACAGCTGGTATGTGATAGGTTTTTTTTAATGATATGCTAATAGACTGTCACCAAAAAAGTTTTGAGAACCCATCTATGTAACTCCATCTTCACAAGTTGGTCTGTTGCTTTTCTGCTGTGTCTGTTTCGTGTAGTTTTTTTTCTAGGCAGTTGTGTCTTTCTTCTGCTATCAAATGTGTTCCTCCCTCTGTGATTTTTCTTTTGAGTTATGGAAATTAAACTGGATTTGCAATTATATTATCAGCCTTAACTGAAAACATATCGCACCAAAAAGCAGTGGAAAGATGATCTTGGGTGACAGTATCTGTAAAAGAAACTCCCTGCTTTTGGAATGGAGCTTGTGAAATACCTGTTTATCAGCTAATGCATGCTATATTCAATTTGTAAATCTGTTTAAAAATACTCAGGGGTAGATTTTGTCCTGTCTTCCTTTTCTTTGAGTATTGGAACTAACCAGTTCCTATGGAAATCTTTTGCTATTTTGCTCAGTTGCGGCAAAGGAAATTAAATAAGGAGTTGGTTCATGAAAGCTGAAAAGCATTCATCAACTTCAGAGCAGCAAAACCTGTGCTTTTGTCATGGGTCTCCTATCACAAATACACTAGCTTGCTATGCTTCAATGCTCCACCATTCTACCTTGTGTCCTTAATTCTTACAGGGATCACATTGCACTCCTCAGGCTGTTCTTGATCAGCCTAATCAGCACTCCTCTAAGGGTTATAAAACTGCCTATTTCAAACATATGTACCATTGAGCCTACATTCTTTTAGTTGCAATACTTAACATTCACTCTTGTATTTACTCCTTTGAGTCCCCTCTACGTTTTTGTGATGTTCCTCGTAATAAGCCAGGTCTCTCTTATTGGTATGGAGGTATGCATTTCTCTGCTTCAACCCCCCCCTGCAGTATTACTTGATAACCTTCCTCTGCACGCATCCAAGTTGAAATTCAGTCTCTTTATTTTAGTGGCTAGGACTATATACACAATTCCAGATGAGATACAGACAGTTTCTAGCTGTAACATTTTCTTGCCCTAACTGCAAATGTATTATACAGTAATTCTTAGGCTGGGTTTTCCTTTTCTGCATCTCCAAAGTGTTATTTTATCAGTTATAAAAATAAGCTAGGTCAAAAATCAAATGTGTATGGAAAAGAGAGAAAATATTTATTATTTCATAGCTTCTGGTTTTGTATTGTGACCTCCTTCTTACTTTCAGTAGTTAAAGTAAAATCTTCTCTCCTTTCTTCTGGTTTAGTTAAGACATCTATTAAAAAATCCTTTTTTTGGTGTCAATCCACACACGTTTCTAGTATATGTAAGTGCTGTATGATTAAGAGTTGATTCATCTGCTCAGATATACCCATGAAAGCTGTAACTGTTTTAGGTACTTATTTGAAATTTACTTCTGAACAGCAGAATTTTCCAGTTAAGTTCCTTCTTGTTGCTTCTGACTCAAGGAAGGAATTTTATTAGGTTTTGATTTTATGTGCTGCAGTCTAGTACCTGTTGAATGGACGTGTCTGTAAACTTCTAGTTGACTGAATCTCTCCTGGTTTTAAGAGTTGTCGTCTTGTAATGAAGATTTTCTGCTCCGTGTTGAGAGCTGACATGCCTTTTTCATGTAACCCAGTAGACCTGCCAGTTCCATTCTGTATCTAAAAATACCAAAAGGCTTTACATGAACATTTCACTGTGATCAGAGAGGAAGAGGGATGCTCTGAGTAGAAACTGCTGCTTTCACAAAGGGTTTCCTACATTTTCTTTCAGTCGGGGTTTACAAGCTCACATGTGTGGGGCCTCATCAGCTAAAACTACTTAGGGAGTCCCAAGTTGCCTGAAATCTTTCGGGTTATGTTGTCTGCAAGCTCACTGAGGAACCACACGACTACACAGCATATGTGAGTTCTTAAGGAGCAGGTTTAGACAGCAGCAAATGTGAACAATGGCAACAAACTTCTGTAATTGATCTTGACGGTGGTGTGTTTTCCTTTCTGCCAGTATGCAAAGCACACACTGGAATTGGTGGAAGGGAAGGTGGTGATTTGGGGGCACAATATGAAGCTGTTTGGATAGCTACATTTGGAAACCTTTATTTGCATATTCTGCATAGGAAATGGAAAAAAGCGCACCACCTTGTAGTAGGCAAAAATGCTAAAAACCAGAGATAGTTGCAAGAGCTACACCTCAGATAAGCAGAGTATATGAACAGCAAAATACAGACAGGCAATGCATCTTCGATGGCTGCCCTAAGGAATCCATTGGTCTTTTCTACCTTGGCTCAAATACAGAAAGGCCTGCAATGGAGGAGGCTGTGGTTTCTACCATGACTGAGGTTTATGGGGTTTTGTTGAAACAGCCAAGTCTACAGCTAGGAATTGAACTTGTCCCGTTTTCCAGCTCTGTGCACTTCTGTTGCTAGAGATGAAATAGTTCTTGCGGTCTCATTATTCAGGAAATTTTCCTGCATAAAAATTCTGTTTAATGTCAGCACAGTTGATTGCAAAGATCCTGTTAAAAACAAATGTCTGTTGATTAACTTGCAGGAAAGGTCAGAGCTATGTAGGCTACTTTGCTAGTTCCTGTACCTTTGACAATATTTTGCAACCTGTGAATAGCAGATACACGATGCAAGAAACGATGAAAGATTTTCTCAGCATGGAGGGAAGCTGGTTTGTATATGTACTCTGGACATTTTTTGAAAGATGTTTTTATTTTATGCAAATTCAAAAAAGTGAAGTTGCACTAGCAAAGGGCAGTTTCAGAACAGTTGCGTTGTTCTTAAAAATTTTTTAGAATTGTGGGCCTAAATTGGTAAGTATCTGTAACAGAGCCAATTTTTACAAGGAGGAATCTCATGCATCCTATTAACTGAAAGCCTATTTAAGTATATTGGATCCTTCAAGGGCTTTAGCTTTGGATCTTTGCCAGTGCCACTATGGAAAAGAGCTGCTACTTTTAAAGTTTTGTTTGTGTATTTCTAGAATTACCAGAGGCGAAGCAGTTTATCTCCTGGCAGCCTGCAGACTTTGGATAGGAAATAGAGCTTGAAAATGTCATCTGTCCCACGGTTGCTAGGAAGTTTATGGGCATCACTTTAAAGTAATGAACATCACAGTAATTTTTCAAATTATAACTTCAGTCGTTTTACTTTATTTTCTAGCTGTAATGCATGCTTTATTTCCTTCCCCCCACTTAGTCTCATTTCTAAATATTTTAAATTGGTAAGCGGGATCAGCTGAATAATGCTAGGTCTGGAAACCTGGCCTGGGCGTGTTTGGTGCAGGAAATGAAGGAGATTCATTAATGTGAGTTGTAGGAGTTTATGAATTATCTATTTGATGAGATTATAAACTTTAATAATGATAGGTTTCTGTATTAGACGTTTATTCTGCATGACTTCTTTGTTAAGACATGAGAAGAGTATGAAAACAGCACAGAAGATATTAAATAGATTAAAAATCTAGGGAATTAATGGATTTAAAATTGACATTTCATTTAGGGGTTGTCAATAAACCCCGATGTTTCTAATGAAATAGCACATACAGATTACCTTCTTAACTTGTACTATTTAACGTCCTTTCAACCATATGGAAGTAAGTCTAGACTTACTGTTGGGTCTGAGACATGCCCTGGGAGACCCATAGCCAAAGGAGGTCAGAGGTTCCTCGATTGCTTAAGCAGCAGAAATGGGGATGGGGGGAAGTCTGTCTGCATTTCTCCGTGTTTGTGTTACACATATACTTCTGTATGTTACAAAATAAAGGATTCTGTCCTTAGAAATGTTTTCTGAAAATGTCTTGGATGTTACAGAAGTTGAATATGAATGCTTGGTGTAATCCTTGGGTTGAACGGAAAGGACAGCAGGTTTGACAGGTGCTGAATTTGAGCCACTAACTAGGAGAAACTAGAAATAAGGCAGGGCTTTTAACACCAAAGGTAGATGGGAATAACATTATGCTCTGGAACTTCTTGTTCTTGTGCCTTTAATTGCCTTACAAACTGCAGTTTGTAGCAATGGCTGTTCCTTCTCCTGCCTCATCAGTGTGGTTTATTTGTTGTTTTCCTACCATTCCTTGCAACATGTTTTCCTTTGAAACACTGAGTTAGATTTTTCTACTTGTACTGGTTTTTATACCAGTTTTCTAGGGCAGAAGTTTTAAAAGCTGCTGTAGAAGCAGGCTGACTAAAGTCCTGTGGCTTCAGTGAAGTGAATTTATCAGCAATATGCTGTTGTCAGTCACAGTTTTCAGCACGGTGTTGGAAAAAACACTTTAATGGGAGTCTGTTAAGACAGTGGTTGTGAAGATAGCTGAAAAACATTGGAAGGACAGAAGAATAAGGTGGATTTTTAAAGGTGAATAATGATGGAAGGCAAAGATCAGTTAAGTCCTCAGGTAAGTAACAGTCCAGTAATGGGACAGGACTGAGAAGGCAGCATCAATAGGTATGCCGTAAACTGATGGCAGGAGGGGATGTCTTCAGTGTAAAAAGATGTTAATGAATTTGTAGGTCCCTCGGACCTCTGCTAAATACAGGGAAATCAAAGCAGATTGCAGCTCTGACTTAAAATTCTGACCTTGAAATGATGATACTATTCCAGTGCACAGTCTGGGCTTTTACTGCAATGGCAATGATTTGATTTAAAGCAAACACCTGTAATCATTGGGTTGTACTTCAGAAAAAGTATTCTGGACCTGTAAGAAAGAAGAAATCTGAATGGTGAGAAAGATGCACAGTCTGTAGTGGATATGGACTTACATTTGTAATTGGATTTGAGTAATGAGGATTTAAGCTGTGAAGTACTTGAAAATAATTGGAATCATAAAATGTGTTATGTGGATTGTGGCCTTGTTACTTAGTTTGCAGAACCAGTACTGTTCTGAGAAAGAGCCTTTTTCTACCTGAAATTGAATCCATCCAGGAAAGTTGAAAGTTTGGCTTAAATGCGTAGGTGTTTTCCTAGTGTATTATTTCAGAATTGCTTTATTCCTTTCCCCGCAACCCTATTTTGGGCCCCTTGCCCTCTTTTGGGGCCTGCTTGCCCCATCTTCTTACCCATTTCCCTTTCTTTTTGCTTCCCCTGTCCAGTTCTTTGTAATATTTTTGTATGCTCTATTTATGACAAATGATGTACAAATTAGTGTATTTACAGGTAGACAACAAAAAGCCAGTAAGGAGTTATGTTGATGTTTAGGTGACATTCAGGTGCATCTGCCTCCTTCAGTGTGCATTGTAATGATCAGGCAGAGGAGAGAGGCTGCTGTGAACTGCCTGCCAGATGAAACGATTCCCTTTCAGCTCTTGTGCTGTTGTAATTAGCATTAAAAAGAAAGTATTTAGCAGTTACAAGTTTTTTGTAATGTTGAGTGCTACAAAAGAGAGCCTAATCTCCTTAACATTAACTGAGTTTTTTTTTTAATATGAGATTCTAGGAATCTTCGTGGTTTTATTCCCATTTTATTTTATATAGATGATTTGGAAATGCAAGATCTCCGTGCAACTATAATACAGAAAACTTTCAATTTAATTTTATGGATGATGAAATGGTTTTGTGTTTACATCAAAGATACCTCTATTTTATTATTCTGAATTTGACAGAAAACAAAAACTTCTTGTCAGAGCTTATACCCAAAATCTGGGTAAATAAACTCTATGTTATTGTACATGCCTCATAAATCTCAAAGCTATTATCTACTTAGTAACATGATTTCTCGGCTAATAAAAGATGCCAAGGTGTAGTATTTAACAGCTTTTTAAAATACATTACTACAAATAGCTGGAATTATATAACATAGTAGCATGTTTATATAACTTCAAATAACCAAGATGCTTTTTTCCATATGTAAGTCTAGTTATTTTAAAAATTCTGTTTGAAAGTGGGCTTTTTCTACTGTGGTCAGCAGTTACATTCAATAGAATGTATTCACTATTTTGGCTTCAAATGTGTTGCTTCTTAAATTAATGGAACATATTTTTCAAGGTCTCTTTTTGGAGTTTTTTGAGAGAAGAGAGAGAAAAAGAAAAAGTAAAAACAGAAGTTCCCAATTTGTCTGTAATCAAGCGTTGTCTTCAACCAACACTTTGCAAACTTTAATAGTATCCCGTCTTCATTTTTCTTTCTAAACTTCATAATCATAGTTTTTATCATTTTTTTTCCACATGGAAGTCTCTTCATCCACATATAATTATTTTTGTGGCCTGTTTCTGGATCCCTTCTCTCTCGCCTATAACTTTTTTAAATAGGGTGACCAGAACCCAAAAAAGGTGAGAGTACCTTTGATTAATATATCAGCATCATAATGTCTTTGTTGTGGGCTTTTCCGTCACCAGCTGTACTCATGCTAGCATCCTATTTGGGGTTTTGACTGTTCCTATCCATAAAGCACCTGTTTTAGTGAAGGTTATATCTGACTTCATTACAGTTAATTTAGACTCCTGATACTTATATTTAAAAGACCCCATTCTGTTCTTTCATATATTGCGGGTTATATGTCCATTGATATTTAATTATGCATGAGATCATGGATTCATTTGCAGTATGTCTGCCTTCTTTTCCGAAGGCCTTTTCACATTCCTTGCAGTTCAGTTTCATTCCAGTTAGCCTGAACTATTGAATGGTGTCTGAAAATTATTTCAGACTGTTATCACTTTTCATGCTTAAATAGGCTTTCTTCAGGGTTTTATGGTATAAATCCCCTATTCCTAACAAATTCTTCACTGGAAAATTACACAAAATTATACATGCCTTCTGTATGCGTCGTTTGTTTTGCCAGGTGAATAAACTCTGGGTAAGTTTTTGCTTGCTGATGTTTCATCTAGGATCAAGGATGAACAGGAATTCTTGTCTTGCTTGATGATTTTCTTTGATAATAACAGAACTTCAGTTTTTAACTTTTTTAAAACAATGCTTTTTTTTTTTTTCTTTAACTGAAGCTGATTCAACGGGTACTCACTCTCTGTACACAACATACAAGGACTATGAAATCATGTTCCACGTTTCTACTATGTTGCCATATACTCCAAACAACAAGCAACAGGTAAGATGGAGCATGCCTATTTAGAATTTGTTTTTTCTCTGTCTCAAAAGTAGCTGAACTATGGAATATTTATGACAACTTTCATGTGTTACTAGCAAAGAAAACACTTAAAAAATCAGAAGTATCAAAAGTAAAACTAGCTGTCTCTCTGTCAGGAGGCTGAGCAAAGCAAGTCATTGTAGGCACATCATAGGTAGATTTTTCTCCATAGGACTGTTTTCTATTTAATCATGAATTATTTACTGAAACTTTAATGTAAATATTGTACCATAATGTCAGTAGCACATTTTTGTTACATAAATAAGAGTTCATATCTTTCTTATGTCAAAAGGACCATAGTGCACTTGACATGATTTTCAACCTTCTGCAGAGAGGTCCATTGCACTTTAAGGATTGCGTTCAGCAAACTGTAATATGCACAGAGTTAGAGGTGACGAGTGGGTGGTCCAGCACACTACACAAGAAGACATGAGACAAAATCCTTCTTATTGTTTTAAATTTTTTTATTATACTGAAGAGCTGTGCAGGCTTGACCTGCTTTGTTACTCTGAAATACCTGGCCTTGTTAAATACTGAGCCATCTGATTGCGTGAGATGTGTACACATTTTACTCAAGGAACAATGTGACTTCGTTTCTGCAAATAAAATAGGAATTTCCTTTGACTATGAAAGATAATGCAGCGTTCTTTTTAGTTTGCTTTTGCACACTAAGTGTTATACTACTTTGTAGTTTACCTTTCTCTTTGCTGTAGTCTTGGGTTTACTGAAAGAAACCTATCAGAAAATCATTATAGAATGTCTTAAGGACAATGACAACTATTTTCAACTTGAAACAACCTACTTCTGGCTTGTAAAAATGTGTGAAGTGAGGAATGTTCTCCAGCTTCCATGTATCGCAGGTTATCCTGGTACTAGCAGGTTTTGAGATTGTTTTTCCTCTTTGTTTAGTTAAAATTTTCCCTGAGAAGATGATCTTGTATATTATATGTAGAAATTAAATTGTTACAAAAAGGAAAATGCCCATGTCTGAAATGTATTAGATGAATAACTAACATTCTGGTACTTGTTATATAAATCCTCAATTGTTTCAGTTTTCAGCTTGAAGTATCATTTGGAATAAAAAACCTCAACAATAGTAATTTATAATAATGAGAAATAAATAGCAGAAAATTGTGAAAAGACTATGTTTTAATCTATGCATCTTTTTTTTGTTGTTCTTAAAGCTTCTGAGAAAACGACATATTGGAAATGATATTGTGACAATAGTTTTCCAGGAGCCTGGAGCACAACCATTCAGCCCAAAGAACATTCGCTCCCACTTCCAGCACGTCTTTGTCATTGTAAGAGTGCACAGTCCCTGTACTGACAGCGTTTGTTACAGGTAGCTATTGCTAGTTTCACTGAAAACATGGAATTTGAGTGGAAAGGGAGGTGTCCTTCCTCTCAAATTCTCAGTAGAGAAACACAATGAAAGATAGGGGTCGAGGAGATTTTGGGTCATGTGAATTTAGAACACTTTTTAAAAACTAAATAGATGCCCATGAGTATGTGCAGGAGACACACCCAATGAGGAAATTAGTGCTGTCAGTGGGTGTGCACACACACCAGTGTGCACACACACCAGTGTGCACACGCACATATATCAAGCATTTGGGAATGATCTTAAAATTCTGTTCTCACTTCCTTTTTATTCTGTTTATTAAGAATATGCTGGAAGAGTGTCTATATTGCTTCTTATGAATTCACTTATTGTTCAGATAACTTGGGCATCTGAGCTTATGTTCAGATTCTGAAATTAAGACAGTGAAAACATATGACTAACCTTTCAGAAAGAAGCTCTCTGAAATATTTTGTCTGAAATACCTTAATTTCTTCTCTCACTTCAGTCTAACAAAGAAATTCCAGAGCATTATGCAGCAAAAAAAAATCTTAGTCTGACCTTAAAGTCAATATGATTAAAATAGTAATTTACCATTAAAATGGTAATTGATAGTAAAATGGTAATTGATAGTAACATACAATAAAGAATTGCAAGATGAGATTCCTATTTAGCATAAATTTAACCACATTGAAAGCATATAGAAATGTTTTTTGAGTTACACTTCCTTTTATGATCAATTAAACTTTTTACCTTTGTTATATCCTGAACTCCTAATGTATTTTTATTTTTACATGTTGACTGATTGATCTCGGCAAACTTTTCTAAAGCTTCTTTATTTAAGACTAATGGATTTAGAGTAGTTATGTTGAAATGAGGTAGCCCTAGAATTAATTTGTCTTGACTACAGTGTCTGAGATCATGTATTCATGTTTTTCAAGTAAGTATAGTAAGGTTTAAAGGCTGTTCCCTCACCATAAGTTTTTTGTAAAGCTTGCACAGGACTTCTGGAACTGATGCTGACATGTATTATACTCTTCTGGAGTAGGCATGTTCACGTTGCTACTCATTTTAAGGCAGCTTATTGACAAATTCCACTGCTATATAATTTATGTGGACATAGCTTGTTCTTAAAGTTTTAGACATATGTTTCAGCTGTTGTTCTGTACAGAAACTGATTTTGAAGTAAAGGGAAGGTAAAAAATACATCCACAAGGGCTACAGATACATTTTCCCCTTGAATTGGGTATTACAAATGCAGAGGAAGATCTGGTTTCAGTTATTATTTTAAATAATATGACTGCATATTTTCAGTTTCTTCCCTTTAAAAGGCATGGGAAAGATTTACACTTGTTATACTGTAATAAATTTAAATATCTCAGGGTTTCTGTTTCTGACCTTCAGACTTCCAAACTGCTTTCATTTTTCAAGTGTTCACACCTACAAGGGCTAGAAGCGTACTGGTTACTATTAGTGAATAAAATTTGAAAATTTCAGCTTTAATGATGCTACAGGCTTACATTTTAAGTGGGGGAAGGGGGACAGGTAGGAAGAAACATTGTGAGAGTGTCAGTGTTCATTTTGATACAGGAGACCACCAGAGCATTGTATGTTCTGTGTACTGTCTTTAAGATTAAAATCCTTTCTTTTTTTATCCTCTTAGTGCAAACATTTGATTTACATTTATAGAATTCCATTATGACAAGTTTTTCTAGGAAACTTTCAAAGTAAGTTTGACCTCTTTTTCACTGAATTATTTGAAACAGTTTCATAGGTTCATAATTCTAGACAAAACAGGAAGCCATATAGCATAAAAATGTACTGGAATTTATATTAAAAGCTACATAAAAGGAATAAAATCAAGCACTGCCTTGGCTAGTGATTTTTTCCTCCCAACTAAGATAAACAATATTTCAAAAGTCTGGCTTCTCTGTCAGCATCGTTCACTTTTTAAAACTTCTCTAGCATGTGTTAAAGATTAAATTCTTATCCCTGTGATTCATGATACTGAAAACCTAAGTAAACAAAATGACACCGGTAGTTTTTCATTACATCCAGTAGTTGTGTTTTAACACTTGGGCTTCTATCTCATGTGATAACAGACCCTTTAGGACCACTGAAGATGATCAAGAGTCAGATGCTTGCATCATGAGCATCCTCTGTTGCATACTTTTAGGTATATTGGCATACGTTTCAATGAAATATGACAGTCAATGACATCTTTCAATATCAGTTGCCAGAAAATATAATTAATAAACCAAAACAACCAACCAACTAAAACACACCACCACCCAAATCTAGAAGAGAGGGTTAAAGATTGGGTACTTTATTTTTGGTTTTGCTGTTCCTGTGTCCCTCCTCCCGAAAAGCTGTACTAGCATTTTTGTGAGCTCAGTTATTGATTGGGGGGGGGCGGGGGTGGGCACGTTTCTCTGATTATGTTTAAGTATTCACATAAGTTAGAACAATGTGTGGAACTAATACCGGCCAGTCTTCCAGATGAAACATCATGTACATTTTTAGTGTGTTCAAGTTCCAGCCTATTTTTCATTGTAAAACTCCAGTACTGTGATATTTTGGCCAAAATTAGTTATTGCTTTTTCAGATCCAGTTAAAGTTATATGGTAAATCATATTTGAAATGTTGGGAGCGTTTCTTGTCACAAAACTGTTGAAGTACAGTTGTCAGTCTCTTCTTAGGACAGACTGACAAGTGAATCATACTGGACTGGAATGGCAAGTCTCCAGTGATGCCAAACAACTCTTATCAGCTCTATATCAAAAGAGAATTGACCAGGGAGAATAGCTAAGCTTGTCAGCATTGGCTAGGGCAATCTTACTGTCAGTCCGTCGCTTGGTATGGAAAGTAAAAGGAAGAGTTGAAAAAGAGAGCAACTCTTTCTCATAAATGTCTCCAAACTTCTAAGAAATTTCTGATTACTAGTATTTTTGGAGTCTGCGTCTGTCACTGGCATGCAACATCAGCTAGTGCAGTTTTCAGTCCAGAAACTTAACATTTAACCGGTAATGTGATACATACATTCAGTCACCAGAAGATGATTCTTACAGTGAAACTGGCCTTCTGAGATGACTTTATTGTCCATCTTTTTAATGTGTCTGTTTTATCTATATTTCTGGTATTGACCATACACTTTGCATTGCTTTCAGATGAGCCTTTCAGCTAAGTTATAAGCTAGCCTTTATAACTGTGTGTTAGAAATGTGTTTATAGTAAAAACAAAAAAAAAAAAAAGGGAACTCCCATACAGGAGTGATTACTTTATCAAAAAAGCACAATTTTACACTCAAAGCTCTCTTTAAGCTGTGGCACTGAGGATGGCTCAAAAATGCTTAGATGCAAAAATAAGTGGCCTTCTGTTTATACAGTAAGGGGTCATCATCTCAACGCTGGCAATATTAAAATGTAAATATAGGCATATTGCTGAAAAAAGGAAAGAAAAATTGAGGGCCTAAGGAAAAAAAGCAATGCATTTTCTGTGTTCAAAACTGCTGAATTTGCATAGAGTGAAACTCTGCTTCTTCCTTATTTTATTTTTTAGTGTTGCCGTGACAAGATCCAGAGATGTACCATCCTTTGGACCACCTATTCCAAAAGGTGTCACATTTCCTAAATCGAATGTGTTCAGAGACTTCTTACTAGCCAAAGTCATTAATGCAGAGAATGCTGCTCATAAATCAGAGAAGTTTCGTGCAATGGCCACCAGGACCCGTCAAGAGTACTTGAAAGACTTGGCAGAGAAGAATGTCACCAACACACCTATTGACCCTTCTGGGAAGTTCCCCTTCATCTCACTTGCTTCAAAAAAGAAGGAAAAGTCCAAGCCTTATCCAGGAGCAGAGATCTATAGTTCTGGTGCTATTGTATGGAGTGTCCATGCAAAAGACTACAGCAAGGGTATGGAAATAGACTGTCTCCTAGGCATCTCTAATGAGTTTGTAGTCCTCATTGAACAGGACACAAAAAGCGTGGTGTTCAATTGCTCCTGTCGAGATGTGATAGGGTGGACTTCAACGGACACAAATATAAAAATATTCTATGAGAGGGGTGAATGTGTTTCTTTGGAGAGCTTCATCAGCAACATTGATGATATCAAAGAGATCGTCAAAAGGCTGGAGGTTAGAATGTGTTCTCTTGTTTGGTTCCCCTTCTTTGTTTCTACTCTTGCCCTGCCACCAAGTAAGGCTTCAATTTAAGTAATGCTTGGGATCCCTAAAACTGTTCTAATGGTTTATCATGAAATCTTTAAGATATATCGTTTTTGATTCGTCAAAATGAAATATTGCTTTCACTTTTTATCAGATATCAGCCAACCTGAGCTGGCTGTGTGTGTGCCAAAAATGTCTCAATATATTTAGAAAAAAAAAAGCTGGGCCTTGAGATGCATTAATTGCTTCTACACAATAAATACAGAAGTATCACCTTATTTCTCTTCCTTGTTTCCCTTCCCTTTCTCTGTCTTATAGGCTTGTTGTATCTTGTTTCAAATGAAGCTGTAATATCTTTGGGATTGACTTATTATGTTGCCAGCAGGGTGCAGTCCGAATCCCTACTGCAATCTTCAGATATTCTCTGAATGCATGTGATAAACAAAATGCAGTGAATCATGGTGACTGCCTACAAAACAACTGTCCATGCTCATTTTTTTATCCAATTAAGTTATGAAAGAATGTGTTATGTTTCACTGTCTTTCCTGTAATTTCACAACCGGAGCTGTATAATGACCAGGAAAAAGGGAAAACCAGGCGCTATTAAATTGCTCTTGACTATATTCGTGCTCATGGTACATAGAAGAGTTGGCATAGACCCCAGTTTACTGTGCTTAGTAGCTGCATGCCACCGCATTCTGACTGAAAGTAATCTTGCAGTTTAGTGAAAACAGCTAGAAATGTGGAATGATTGGCTACTAAAGCATGAAAGGCAGGCATGCTTGTGTAACTCCATGTGTTTTTTCTGTTGTGTGCTGCCATGTATCTTGTAAAATTCCTGTGGTTTCAGTAAAAGTTTCAAGGCAAAACATGGGTAACTAGACTCTACTGAAAATACTAGTTTGAGTGACAAGACCCATTTCAGCTGGTTGCGTACCCACGACTTTGATATGTATTTCTTGATTGTGACCCACCATTGTCTTGGGAGTTGGTTGATTGTACAAAAATGAAGCCCTTAAACCTTTACTAGTGCTGAAATCTCTGTGTGCATTTAATACTGTCTTCATTTCAATTCACAGCTTGTGACTAAGGGCTGTGAAACAGTGGAGATGACTCTGCGGAGGAATGGTCTGGGTCAGCTTGGTTTCCACGTAAACTATGAAGGCATCGTGGCAGATGTTGAGCCCTATGGCTATGCATGGCAGGCAGGACTGCGACAAGGCAGCCGGCTGGTGGAAATCTGCAAGGTGGCTGTAGCCACTCTGAGCCATGAGCAAATGATTGATCTTCTCAGAACATCAGTAACAGTGAAGGTTGTCATCGTCCCTCCGTATGAGGACTGTACACCACGCAGGTATTGTATAATAGCTACTTTTGGTCTGAAACTATATCTTGATTTGTGGGGTTTGGGGGAAAGAAACATCTCAGAGTAAGTGTTAACCTCCAAAAACAATGGTATAATTATAATATAGGATCCAGTATCGTAAAGTGAAAGAGGGCAGGAAAAACTGCCCATATTCAGACTCAAGGCCCTACGAAATACTCACTGAATACCACAGTTTAATACATTTGTGAAGAACCTCATGTATCCTTTTAATTCCATGGAATTTAACATGGAAATCAAACAACTTCTTGTTGACAGTTTTGTGTTTATGATGCATCGGAATTAATTGTACATTTCCCTCCCTGCTTTCCCATTTGTTGGTAGTTTGCGATATCTGTGGGTGTAATCCTTGAAGGCTATAAATAGACTTACATTCTTACACTTTCACAAATAAGTAAGGCTGTAAATGGTGAGAGTTTATCAAAGGTATGAATCTGGCCAGAGAAATTGCTGCAAATTGTGATTCTTCTTTACTCAGTAGTAGATCTTGCTTCATCTCTCTCACTTCCCAAACGTGTTAAGCCTGAGGCTTGTGTCAACTGTATTATTGCTTTTATAGCTTTAAAGTGTTGCTGATCAGAAATAAGCAGCAATACCTGCGTTTTTTCTAAATTGGACATTGAGTCCCTCCATTTTTCCTGAACTCACACTAAAGCTTTTTTAAAGTTTTACTGCTCCCATTTGAACGCTCTGCAGTTGTGTGTAGCATTCAGCCACATCACTAAATCTGATTCCCATATTCCTGACCTCCTGTATTAATATCTTGCAAATGCTGTACGATTAAAATGGTATGCTCTACAATAGACTAAATTTGCCTGCAGGCTAGCTCAAGGTTTATGCTAGATTTGCCAAGAAGCAGCACAGATAGTTAATGTGTTCCTTCCAGTGAGGGACTGAGAGAGCATTTTGCACTACTGTTTTCTAATCAGGCAATATGTCTGTAGGGGTAGATACTAAATCTTTGTACATTTAAGGTTGGGGCTGAACTTAAATGCATATTTATTACATTGATACGAAATTGTGTCTCTAAGCAAAAACCTTGTACTCGCATAAAAGAAGAATCCGTGCTTGTTTTCACTGTGAGCCGTATTCACTGCTTTTGTAACTGATAGCAAAACGGGAGCAGAGAGGAAAGGAGTTTTATTTGTCCTTTAGTTGTCAGTGGAAAATTGAATACATGTCAGGGATCAAAATGAGCAGTGGCATAAGGTCACTCATGAGGTATTTGGAAAGCTTTTGTACAGTATTTAGCAGCCCAAGCAAATGGAAAGTTCAGCTGCAATCATAGCAAAAGGATTAGAGCAGAAAAATCTGTATGGAAAGCACAGATCCTATTATTCCTGAACTAAATTAAGTACAACCAAACACAGGCTTAGCTTTAGTGTATCCAAACCCAGGAAGAGAAATTACCGCAGTTTTCGAACTACTCAGCATCAGCGAGTTTTGTTGTTGTCTTGTAGTGAGCACATGTTCATGGTGGATTATTGCCTAGTTATAACATTTCCTAAAGCAGCACTTCATCCTGCTTGCTGTATCCAAAATCATTAAGGTTTAGGAACTGTGTCTTGAATTTGTAGCTATCCTACGTGTATTCCTAGAAACTTGACTTAAATCTTTGCACAAAGCAATTTCTCTCTTCGCAATCAGTTTTCCAAAATTGCAGTCCTTTTGTTGTGTCCTCTGGAGGTCATTTAGTATTTCTACTACAATAACTTCCTACAGACCGTAACTAAAATGAAGATTGGTTCTGCTTGGTATAGTACATTTACACAAGAAGCAGTCCCTATCCTAATAAATTGAGTGGCATGAAGTTGGCGGAAGAGCAAGGGTGCAGTTAGATAAGATGACTTGCCAGCAGGCACATGTACAAGGTCAGCAGCAGATACTAAAATATACCCAAATACCCTGATTCACTGTCTAATGCCCTACACAGAGACAGGCCTTGTTATGGTTATATCTCTACTGAAAGATGATTATTAAAACATTGCCACTGGACTCATTTAGTGGACTGATTGCTGACCTTGAAGTTAAGGACACAGCAGCAAGAGGAATTCTTGCTTCTTGAACTGTAACTATGTCTGTGAAAAAG